TATCTTCTTATGTCTACATCAACCCGAAGAGCGGTCACATTTACAGCATGCGCTCTCTGGATCATGAACAGCTTAAAGCTTTCCGTATTGAGGTGCAGGCTGAGGATGCTGGAGTGCCCCCACGGACATCCAACGTCACTGTGCACGTGTTTGTTGTGGATGTGAATGACAATGCACCAGTGATTGTACACCCCTCCTACTCAAAAGACAAAAGATTAGAGTTCACTGTGGCCCCATCTGCCAGTCCAGGGCACCTTATAAATAAACTGGTCGCAGTGGATGCAGACAGTGGGCACAATGCTTGGTTGTTTTACTCAATTGCTCCTGGACCAAATGCTGGTATGTTCCGTATTGGGGCACACACTGGGGACCTCCGCACAGCTCGAAAGTGGGACGAGGAGGAAAGTGGTTCAACTTATGACATTGTGGTCATGATTCAGGATAATGGCGACCCACCCAAGTCCACTTCTGTGAACGTTACAATAACTGTGGATGAGAAGGCACCAGCCAACGATGCTCCGATTATTCCTCACCACATACCTTTCTACCAACGCAATGGGATGCCAGATATCACTTTGTACCTTATCATCTCTCTAGCCTGTGTGTCAGCGGTGTCCTTTATCACATTTGTTGTTCTCATGGTGCGCTGCCTGAGACACCGTGGCCCAGGGCTGGGAGGCTCTGAATGCTGCTGCTATGGTCACCACAGGTCCAGCCGCTACCATCAGAGGCCTAGCAAGGACCTCCACCTGCAGCTCAATACTGATGGACCCATACGATATATGGAGGTTGTGGGAGGTCCCCAAGAGCCACATACACGGACCTATAGGCCCTGCTACTCCACTATATCTAGCCGAAGTGACTTTGTATTTATGAAATCACCCATGCTGAGTCACAACAACACACTCAACATGACGCTCAGCAAGAAGTACCTTATGAACTCAGCCAGTGAGGTGAGAGATTAAGTGGGAGAGTGAGCATATATACTTTTCACTATTAACATTAGACTTGTGGAAATGCATAAACATCCTAAAATACGTCTCTGTTTTGTTATGCACTGAAAACTTCCCCAGTGACTTGCTGTATTTTATCTTTTACTCCATTTGTTTTGTTTTACCCAGAGGACCAGTCTCTCTCTACATGGTGACAGGGCTCTGAGAGTGCTATTGTTCTGTTAGATAGGTTTGTGAAGAGTGAAAAAACATCTTAAAATTTAATCTGACCCAAGGGCAAATGTGGTTACTATCTCTGGCTTGAAGCATTTTAAGTGACAGAGAATGCTGCTATTTATGAAGAATAAAGCTGCAGTTATAAAGGAAAAAGAAGCTAGCTGGAATAGCAAAACAGGGGGAAAGGGGTAAAACATAAGTGCTGTTAACAGATGGAGGGGAGGAGACAACCAGATGAAGATGGGTACTGCAGAGTTGGCTCAGTGAAATGGCTGGAAGATAGAGGGGAACAGGATGACAGAGAGAGAGATGGGGGTGACGGAGGAAAAGAGCCAGGAAAGAAAATGGTAAGATGGGTGGAGGGAGAGAGCCAAAGAATAAAGCAGTAGCTGAAAAACAGGAATTTGTGGGGTCAGTGGCCTGAACCCTGACTTCCTGTTGTCCTCTGAACCTTTGATTGGTTCCATGACTCAGCATCACATGAGGTCGCTCTTAGTGATCAGTGGGGAATTCAGTAGAAAAAAATAGAACGTTTTGTTTTTCATCTTTAATCAATTTATCCTCAGTATTCCTCATCTGGCATTTCACATCTACGTGAGGTTGCTCTGTTATTTTGATAATGATTTTTACCCTTGACTCTATTTAATTTTTTTTTTTTAAACCCTCATATTTCTACCAACTCTGTTTTATAAAGACTGCACAGAATTAGGTTGTCCCTGAGGTCAGCAGCGTACCATCTGTCTCTCTACTCTGGTGACACGTGTGCAACAAGGACAGCAGAGCAAAAGAGATAGAGGGACTGATAACTGGAAAGGAAGGATGGCTTTATGCATGTGTGGCACAGTGACAGACGGCACAGGCTATAAAGCTTTAGAGTACCACTACGGGTGTTTGCGTGCCTGCATGCATGAGATTGTGTGTAAAAAGCATCAGGCAGGAGGAGCCCTGGGGCCTTAGATCCTTCCCACTGCCCCTCTTTGTATCCTTTATTCATTTGCAGTGTGCTCTCTTGGCAAACTCTCTTCAATAACATGCTTTCACATAAGACTTGGGTTAAAATTACAGTATATTAAAGGATGTGAAGCATTTTGACTCACTGCAAAGTCATAACCCACCTTTTCCCTTTTTTTTTTTTGTTTCTCATTTGCATCAAGATCTGAATGTTACCGTTTAGTATTTCAGTCTTTAAGCTTGTGTGAGTTAATAAGGGTTGGCACAAAGTTAGCCCAAGTGTTTTTTGTAAATATGCTTTTTTTATGGATGACAGAGCTGTGCATTGGACATGCTGGTTCATGCGGTTCAGTAAAACTGTCCTCAGAGGTTATGATTAGTTGAGTCATGATGTTTGTTTAAAGGAGCGGAATATCATAGTCAAACACTACTCATTGTGATCCTTTCTTGTGACGGTGCAAATTAAAACAGTATTGAAGTCGGCAGTTTAGATTTGAATACCATGATTTTGACCTTCCTGTCCCTAAATCCAGTTCTCTTTATATTTTTGAGCTTTTATGCACATTACTGCGAGGTAGCTAAGGAATCCAGCCAGGTTCTAATTCACCTGGAGATCCTTCAAAGCTCTTTGGTTCAACTCAGAGATGTAAGGGAAGTACATTGAGCCATTTTTAAATCTTCCAGGTTTAATATGATCGTCTTTCTGTGGGATGAGAAGTTGGGCCCACAGAGCTGTAATCTGTCTCTTCATTGGCAGCATGTCTGGATAGTCTGTCTGACCTTCTCTCTCTCTCTCTCCATGCTTACGTTTAGCTTGCTCTCAAAAAAAGAAAAACAGCTTGTGAATTTTTAATAACCTCATTCATATTTCTTTAGTGACCGACTCATTAAAGAGAACAAATCATAAAGAAACAAGCACAGCTAAAGCTCCTCAGATAATTGCAGATGAAGTCAATTAGATTTTGTCTCTGTAAGCCGGTAATAGGTTTTACTATTGGGATTTGTTTTACCTAGAAACTGTTGTTGATGTAACCACCTTAATTTAAAACCTCGGCAACACACATCGGTTTGTTGAACGTCTTCAGTCTTACTCAAGCAGATAAGCATTGGAGATTTATAAAATAGCCTAGTTTTATCTGTCTGCTTACACCCGGCTTTCCATAAGGAAGCATACAGGAAGATATTCCAGTACAGTCTGTTATTCTTCTTTCCACATGCCTGCATTGGGATTTAACCTTGAAAACGATCAGTGTTTGTCTGTGAAAGTGTGTGGTGAGAACAACTCACGCAGCTGGAATGCTGGGTCTCTTTCTCTGTGGATGTTTGCTTCCCCTCACTGCTGATATTTTTTTTCTCCCTACAACCCAGACAGATTTACATGCCCACGCACACATACACATCTCTGTGTCCAATTTTAGACTTTAACCATCAACCAAGCTCTGCCATGAAGGAGGATGAGAGTTCATTTTTCACCCTCCCTCTCATCTTCACCCATTAAAAACATTTCACACTGTAATAAAAAGCTTGCGAGTTGTTACGAGGAATAACCAAGCAACCGTGTCTGTAACGGACCTTGTTTTTCTCTTCCGGAGAGCTGACTTGTATTCAACATGAAAACAACACTGAAACTGAATCCACCGACAGCTATTTTCACTCAACGCTACATGCATTATGGGCTTGTTCAGCAACTGTACTACTGCTTCCATTACTTCTTCATCATGCACACTCAACTCTGTTGGGAGTATCTTCAGGTCCTGCGGTTAAATTCACTTGTTTTGTCTTCAGGCTGTTTCAACAAACTGTATTTCCCTGTTTGGTCCTGTGTGGTCACTAACCTTTATTCCTTTATTTACCTGTATTCTAACAGATTCTCAGTCAATACTGCTCCTTGCGTGTAGCTGTCTTTCACTTTTCTCTGCTGCTCTCTTGCTTCTTTCCATCATTCCCTTGGGTAGAACAGCTCTTTTAATAATGCAGCACATCATTCTGTTGGCCTCTCTCTCCAGGGAGCTCTTGTGTCGATTAGGCAGCAGAATCTGGAGCCAAGCCACGGGTCTATTCACCGCATCACTGCACAACAAGAGAGTCAGAGAGAGTGAGGGAGGGAAAGAGCTAGAGAGAGACATGGTGGCATGGCCCGTGAGGTAGAGATGGACAAAACCGCAAAGGGGTTGAAGACATTAATAGACAGCAGAAGCATGCAGAGATGGGAGAGGCTTTTATCACTGCTTCTAAGTTTTGGTATCCAACTTCTTTTGTCCTCTGACTCTTTAAAGGAGATTTTTATAAGAAGCAGTGTGGGAAGCTAATCAGTCTGTCTGTGTGTCTCCTAAAATTCTTGTCAGTGTCATAGTTTTGGTTTGCCTTCATTTTTCCACTCATGAGCTGGCAAGCTCAGTATTTTAGACACATCTCTATGTGTACTGTCATCCACTGAAATAATCCTTTCAGATGCAAGTCATTTGGACGTCCAGTTCAGCTTCTGGCCGCTTTGGTGCAAAGCCGATTGCCCACTTAAATTAACACGTTCTCTTTTTGATGATGTCAGTCTTTTGATTTTAGTTTTGAGGGTTTTCTTTTTTCCTTTTTTTTAATCAGGCCTGTAGTTTTTGTGTATGTGTGCGTGCTCAGTTTATGCCCCACAGTGTTTGGGACAACATGGATGCCTGAAGGTACAGTTATTCGTGGCCATCTGTAATGCTTTGATGAGCCTCAGTGAAAAACTGTAAAGACAAATGATACACACAGGCATACATCGTCATTGCACACATCTCAACTACAAACCAAATACATAAAAACACTAAACTGCACCTTAGAAACATCTTGCTGTTGTTGCGATGAAACATATATTTCATACTGCATCTTCTGTTCTCTTCACAGCAAAAGCCTCCCAACAATGACTGGCGCTTCACACAGGGACAAAGACCCGGACCTAGCGGGTGAGTTAGCAGAGTAACACATTGATTCAGCTGAAATACGCAGTAATATCTAGATCATGTTATTGCTTTTCAAGGGGGAAAAGAGTAAAAGGGGTGAGGGATTTTTTTTTAAAAAGGGGGGATGGTAGTGAGCGCTGTAACCATAATAATTTGCTACCTGCAGTGTGCCATCTGATTTTAAAATACAGATGGCATCACAAGCAAACATTTTTATGTGACTTCAAATTTTATTCCAGTGGTGATGAGTTTCTTGTTCCACCTGATTGCATGATTCTGCTCAGTAAGGTTGTGAAAAGCATCTCTGCCTGTTTCCAGGCTGCTTTATAAAATGGCTGCTGCAGCTTCCACTCCCCCTCCCCCTCCCCTGCTGTTCCTTTCCTCTCTGCGCTCCCTGAGCCTGTGCGCCATCGCTCAGTACTACTGATGAGGAACAGTGACCAGAGCTAGCGGGGGGGGGATGGGATAGTGCATTTATCTTTATTGCTCTCTCCATTTTTTCCTGCCACGTCACTTGAAAACACGTTTTCTTGACATCAGTTACTTGCCTTATTAAATGTCAGTTGTGTTGTTTAGTTTACATTCTGTGTTGATTACTTTGTCACTGATATTTGCCCATGTAGTGTACGCAGTTGTGATTGTGCGACAGATCTTATGAGTCGAGGTTTGTCCCTGAAACACACAGGCAATGTTAGGCACAAACACAAGCTACTGCACTTTTAGAAACCACTGGGTTTTATTTTACTTCTCAACAGCTATGTCATTCACATCCTGTTTTTGAAAAGTATGTGGCTGACTCAGCATTTTCCAAACAAGATCTAAAGCATATACAAATACACAGTAGTTCTTTTCAGGGTGTATAACTTGTTGTGTTTTTAGTCCCCACATGCCGTACGGTACACACATACGATGGACGCCGAAGAATGGGACAAGGTACCGATTTAGACGTAGGCCCTGTATGGTCACTTTATGTCCTCAGCAGCTGATCAGGGATCGCATTTGCCGCCGTTCAGTGAAAGAGGAACTTGGTCAGCTGATAAGGGCAGGGAGTGACTCAAATCTTTTAGTTAGTGCACTGCAGTTGAGTGCTGTGCTGTGTGTAGCTGTACCTAACCCATAGCTTCTGTTAGTCTCCCCGAAAGTTTGATGGGATTTGTTGATCGATGTGCATAGGCCACAATGCCTGCTGTGGCGTAGAAAGGATTGTGACACTTTTTTTCAGTTTGTGTGCAGTGTTTTGTAGATTTGCTATGCCTTGTATGTGTGCTATACATATAGTCGTTATAGTCTGAGAGCTCTTCTTTTTCTCTCCTTTGAGATTTGCCTACCATACAGTGTTGCCTTTGATGTATGTCTGTGATGGTTGTAGCTTAACACCACCACATGCAGCTTTTTCATGTGACTTATAAACCAGAGGACAATGACAACGTCTGTGTCATGACTGATAGTTTAAAATGCCTGTTAGAGGTTGAGATGTTCCTAGATGGAGTAATTGGGAGTCTGTTTTAAGCACTAGAGATTAACATGCAGATATAATAGATGTCAGCATGTACACCATGTGACCAGAGGAATGGGTTTAAATTATAAAATATAGCCTATGATAGGGAAAAAGGAAAAAACGTAAGACACAGTGGAATAAATGGTTAAATAGAGTGGCATTTGAATTCTGTGTGAAATCAAAACATTAACCACTGATTCTGTGCTTCATTGGTTGGAGGGGATTAAAAAGAAGCAAAGAGCTGCAGGAGGGTTTTTTTTGTTTTTGGTTTTTTTTACCTTTTCCTACTGTGGCTTTAATTTCTTGAAGGTTCCCTGAAAAGCGACAAGTAAAGGCATCTATTAAGATGAAACATATCATGTAAGGAAACCGAAGGAGAATGATAGCCCAGACTGGCCAACTGAGGACATCATTCTGGACCACAATGTACAACTTTGCCCACAGGAAGTGATAATCCTGACCACAGGAAACACTTAACTCAACTAGAGGATATGATAAGAAAAATAAAGCTAATTTAGCATGAAGGGGCACAAAATGGCTGCTTCTGGCCTTACCGAGGGTGCTCCTCTCCAGTCTGTTTCTCATTGGCTGCTTGGCACAAGACATACATGTTTCTCTTCCTCGGTCTCTTTCTGGCACTGAGCTGAAAACCACTTCAGTGTTTTGGCAGTGCAGTCTGGCAACCTGCGCTTAATCAGAGCCAAGCTTTTGTGTTCAAACTCCTTTTTCACTTTTTCTCTTAATGTGTCTTTTACTTTCTCTTTATTCCCCAGATCAGGGCAATTTGTCTGATTGCTTTTTTAGTTGGTTTTAAGTAGAAAGGAGCTTTCTTGTTTACATCCTATGCATTTAACACACTGTCTATTGTGCAGAAGTTTTAGATAAGCTGCAAATCCTTAAATATATTTACTTTTCATAAAAAGGAACCCAAACGTTAAAAAATCATTTGGCATAATCACCCTTTAAAATAACACCAGTCCTGCTAAGTGCAAACATCTTGGCTATCTCATTTTCTTCTGGCCAGACCGATTTGGTGTTCATGGCTGTGTGGGGGCCATAGCATCCTTTGCATTACTGTAAACAGTTTTTTATGACTCTGGCTATTGCTTTGAGGTTAATATTATGCTGTAGGATGAGCCTACAACTCTGTTCTCTCATGCATAAAAAGTTAAACTTAAAAGTTTAACCATCTTGAGTACTATAAACCATCTTGTGTGCTATAACGCTGTACAGACTGTCTTGCCTTGCCCCTTTATTTCTAAAATCTTTGTATTAGGAAAGTAGCACACAATTTCACTGTGTCACTGTCATTTCCAGCTGCACATACCAACAGAATCGTTTACCCATGGCCTCCACTGAGTGTCCTGAGGGGTTTTATTAGCCCATACAGTCAAAAAGCCTTTGTTTCAACACTCTGACCCACTGTTTACATGGCTGAGAGTAGTTAAATGTTACTTTTTTTTAATGTAGTGCTGGTGATGAATTAGCCATACTACTGCTATAATGGTTTTAAATGATGTTTGAGTCTCATGCAGGGCTTCTAATGAAGTGAAATGACATTTATCTATATTTTATGATAGTTTACCAGTAGCATGAAGATAGCACACTGTTGTTTTTTGACACTAAAAATCTAAAATTGGGGGTTTATTAGCACTTTGGGAACAGACTCAAACATTGTGACCTAGTTCTCAGTTGCAGAGTTTGTGTTGCCGTGTTACATGCATGGGAATAGAAATAAGTAGGTGAGCATACTCAAAGCATACAAGTCTGCTTTCTCCGCTGTTACCCCCACATGCAAATTACAGCTTTTAAATAAACCAGCCTTTGAACATGAAGCCCGTCCAGATGGAAATGTTCAGCGCTCACTGAGCGCTGCATGTGCGACTATGCAGACAGCTATTTCCTTTAAAGGTGGGATCATTAAATACGTTTAATCAGATTTACTAGACGGCGCATTGCTCAGGGTCATACTGGCGAGTGTGTGACCGCTGTACAATTAATGTGTGAACACACTTGCTACCATGTGTGTGTCCAGCAGCATTTGCACATGCCTTTACAATAATCTGTTTAAGCGTGAGTGTGTGTGTGTGTGTGTGTGTGTGTGTGTGTGTGTGTGTGTGTGTGTGTGTGTGTGAGAGACACACTCTGTTTTGCGTACTATACATCCCGTATTATTCTCCTCAGGCTGTGTATTTCACCATCAGCTGCTCTGCTTTACATCATCCTGTCAAGCTAAACACACATAGATCCACTGTAGAGGAGAGTTTATTTACATGTGTTTTTTCCCGATTTTTTTTTTCCACAGGGCAACTGGAGGACCTGAGGTTGCCATGGGAACTGGCCCCTGGCCCCAGCCCCCTACTGAAGCTGAGCAGCTCCAAGCCCTGATGGCTGCAGCCAACGGTGGGTCCTATACCTTGTCACCTCTTTCGTCCCTCCTATGAGTTCCACCATCTCTTTTCCAAACCTATTTATTGCTCTTCTTCTCATCAGGATGCGTGGGAAGTGGTGGTTTGTTTAGCTTCCTGTTTGGTTGGAGAGCAACAAGCCAGACTCAGTCATTGATAAAGCTCTGTCTGTCCACGCTGGCGTTTCCATTTAGTGGACGTGAACCTAGTATTACTACCCACAGTTTCCTTGATGTAGTAAAGCTGATTTGTTGAATATAATAACACAACAGTGAGACACGTTTCCACTGTACACACTTATCACATGTTTAATGTTTTACTATAAGCAGTAAGCTATAAGGGCTACTCGTACATTTATGTAACATTAAAGCCTATATGATTCCTATATGTTACAACACACATCCTCCCCCTCCTGTCCTGTCCCTTCTGTCCCTGCAGTGACGGCTTAGGCAGCACTGAGGTGAATTCACACAGTGACTCATCTTCAGGCTTTGTCATCGCATAGAAAAGTACGCAGAAAACAGCAGGATTACCAAGACCAAATGTAGCGTCAGGCAAACACAAATTATACAAAGATGGTAATGATGGAGAGACGAATGTGACGAGGTTTATTGGCAAACAGATTCAAGTCGTCACTTCCAGTGTTATTTCACCACCAATCTGTCCCCCCCTTCTTGGACACTGGGAACTGGGCCCTGGTGTGTGACATTTTTTTTCCATCACTGGGAAATGGCGAGATGGTCATGTGGTGGTAACCTGCATGTTAGACAGAATGAACAATTTGAGCCATCAGGGAGGAAGGAACAAACTGAGCATGTGATAAATACTGAAGGTCATCTCTCCTTTGTGCTTAATGTCACTGTGCCGATAAACACAATGACAAACACGGAACAATTCATTTAATTAGCGCTCCACTTCAGAGGAGAAGGTAATAAAAAAGTGTTCTCTCTAATGACTTTAGCTCCAGCACAGTTAGAACTGCAAATGTCATGTGCATGTGTGTGTTTATGGAGGCTGAGATGAACTAGAGAATGGGGGAGGGAGGGTTTGTTCCCTGGCTCTGCAATGCAGGGGCTGTGGGAGAATTATGGGCTGAGCAGCTACGTCATGCACGCTCACAAAAACAGGGCATGCCTGATTTATTTATTTATTTTTTTAAGAAAAGGAACGCCAGATAAACAGAGGAATAAGACATTTTCAGCAACCATGTTGAACAAAAAAGAAAATCCTCTTCACTCTTTTGTTAATATTTCTTCTTGTTCATATCTTTACTTTTTAGGTTCACTTACTGTCTCTTTATGTTTTTGTTTGAACTAAACCTGATGTTCAGACTGAATTTCGTTTTAATCTGCTGTACAAAGTATTATAATTTCCTTTTATGTCCCATTTAATTTCACCTCTTCTGTTTATACTAGATATTCTTCCAAATGCTTTTCTAACAAGTTTCATCCCTCTGTCCTCTTCCCTCCTCACCCCTTGTCCCCCAACTTTGTCTCTCTTCCCCCTAGAAGTGAGTGAGGCTACAGCCACCCTCGGGCCCGGCACTATGGGCTTGAGCACCCGCTACAGCCCCCAGTTCACTCTGCAGCACGTGCCAGACTATCGTCAGAACGTCTACATCCCAGGCAGCACGGCCACCCTCACCTCAAACCCCCAGCAGCAGCAGGCCACGGCCCAGCAGGCCACCCAACAGGCACTGCCCCCTCCTCAGGCCTCAGCTCAACCAGAGCCCCCTAAGGCCGCCCAAACTCCAGCCTCCAAGAAGAAGTCCACCAAGAAGGAGAAGAAGTAGATGTGAATAGGTGAAGGAATGATCAACCTGGGCCTGATCTGATGAGAAATTAACCCTCCACACCCCACCATTAGATATCTTAAATATTGACAGCAAATCACTTGTGACCACATGAGCGATTTTGAAAGTTCTTTGAAAGTGTCTTGAATGCCTCAAAGAATCTGAATGTGTTGAAAGCTGTTAGTGTTTCTAACTTGTGCTGTGCTTAAGGTCTATTATTGTTCACATAACCGTTGTTGGTAGATATATTTGGCTGGGTGTGGGGGGTTACTGTCCCCCGCCCATATTTCTTTCTCTTTTTTTGGCAAAAATACAAAACAAAAACTTGGACAAAGAGATTCAGTGTAAGCAACCTTGCTGGGATGACAAGACTATACGCAGTGATGTATTCAGAAATGAAATGTTAATGTCTTTCACGTTGGATTTTTTCATGCACTTTCCATGAAGTGGAAAGTCAGCTGTTGTAAAGTACGTTAGTTGCCATCCATTAGATTGCTAATAGGGTCAGCATTGCTGGGTCTTAAAGCGTTAAGTCCTTTGACTTTAAGGCTGTTGTTTGACAAGTATTACAAACTCTTCTGCATGCTCATTAAGGTTCAAACCACATATACTAGTTTAGAATTGCAAACTATGCATTGCAAAAGCAGAGGAGGAGGACATCTTGAATCTATTATCGTCCCTCCAATCGCAGGTCAATATAATGCACATGTAGCATTTACTTGACGCAAAATGAAAATTACTTTTGTAATCGTAGTTTAAAAAAAACAGATTTTAATCTTCTGATATTTTTATGACCTGAGCATGCACCCAGAGGAAGGGCTGGCAAAGAGTGGGGGTTGCACGGCGCTGTGTCGTGGAGTCACGAGCCATGCTGTCCATATCAGTGGTACAGCAGCAGAGACTGGCTTCTTCTGCAACACCTCCAAGATGGGCACAGATATGTCTTGCTGCCCCGCACCCCCCTGCCCTCCCCTCCTCACACTCAGCTCGTGTCCCTCCCTCATTCACCACCCCCATATTGAGAGCCAAACAAAAAGAAATGCACTGTTAGTATTCTTAAGATGATGTAGGGGTTGTAATCACTTCAGTCTTTAGGGAAACATGTAGATGTGGTAAACTTAAGTGCTTAGGAGTTTCTAGACACCTTGCGGGCCTTTAGGGCCTCTATGGAGTATTTTCCTTCACCATCCTCAAGTGCTGAAGAAACGTCTTGATGTGGCACAGTATCATGTCTTTTCTTTGGGAGATAACGATTCGATAGCATAGAGAAAGTGTTTGTATAAGATATGAAGTTTTTACATTGCCGTCTATCCTTCTGTCAAACTCCTGGACACGTACAACAGCATGAAGAAAAAAAAGGCAGCTTGCAGGGTGGGTTAGGGAGAGTGGAAGTGGTATGGTGAGAGGTAAGCAGACTGAGGTGGCACCATTGTATCGATCAGGGGGTGGTAAACATCCTTGGCTCTACCCACTGAATGTACAGAGGAACCACAGTTGACCTGCCCACCCCAGAAACTCTCTCAAATGCACTGACTGTAGTAGAGGTCAACAGAGCCAAGCGCAGTTGTCCCTGTTGGTGAGGAGATGCCACTCACAAGCCCTTTGAAATCTCTCTCTTCCATTGACACCAATGGGAAACCTCAACCTCTTCACCCCTCACCTCCCGCCCTCTACTCCCTAGTCCTGTGAGGCTCTTCCCCACTGTAAATAAACACAAGTCCTGTCGATGGTATGAGCCAGGTGTTTGTATAGTAGGGACCATGTCCAACATTTTCAAAATAAAAGTCCCTCTCCACAAGGCGTGGCTTACTACTGGAATGTGTTGCATTTTGTTTTTAAGAAAAAAAAATTAAGAAAACCACAGTTAAAAAAAAACAATAATAAAAAAAAAAATTGAGATGTTCTTCAGCAGTTTGTGTTGCAATGTAGTAACTAAGCACCATGGAAGCCAACTAACACTTAAGTGTAAATAACTGATAAAGATAACTTTAGATAAGTAAAAGAAGTGACACACGTAGACTAGTTAACTTGTGGTATGTGTTGCGCATATTTTTGTGTTTATTTTCCCTCTACTATCTTTTATCACCCTGTAAAGATACAAAAGAAAAGAAAAAAAAATATGGAAAAGTTTCTATCCTTCTGTAACCTCTTAATGTTCTTTTGCGGTGATTTTATCTTGTGCATTTGTGAAAGAATGCCTCTCATTCTCTTTCTGTCCATATGAACAAATGATTATAAATATTATATATGTGTAAGTCCGTCCGCTGCTGAATTAATCCTACTCTATCCTGCTGTATTATCTTTCTTATCAAATGCTTAAACCCCACGCTATACCCCTGTGTTACTCTCTTATTTTTATGCTAATATTTATATTGCTGTTTTATTTTCTCTTGAACACTGACATTTCAAATAAAAAGATTCATTTTAAAATTACTTATGCGTGTGGTTTGTGTTAATGCTGCTATTTGTCATTTCTCTCACAGGCTGAGTGAGGTAACTCTGAGCATCATTACATTGTTAACAATATTAATCGCGCTCACTAAACAGTTTTAAATGCTTCTTGGAGTTTTAACCATGTGGCTGCAGCACTACTAATTAATCCCAGAAGCCTTTTGTCTTCTTTAATTTCAGATTTCTTTAAAAAGCAAACTACGAAGCTACAAATAATTTACAGGAACTAGGATGTCTTAATCAAAAACATGTTAAATTGATGATATAAGTTCTGATCCTTTTTCAATAGGACTCAGAACTACAGCTGCCAAAAAAGTATTCTTTGTTTAAAAAGAAAAAGCACGGCACAGCATATTAAGTCAGTAAAATTGATTTATTTAGCATCTTTCTAGAAAAGGATATGCTTCACAAGAACAATTAGTACGCCTATACAAATAAGTACTAAACTGCTCTTTAAAAGTTTCAATAGAGTCCATTGATCTCAAACGTAATGGTAATGGATTCCATTGTTTATTTTAGTTTTCGCTGTAGTATGAGGAACCACCAACAAGACCTGCATGTTACATATGGGTGCAAGAGTTCACTATTGTAAGCTGACATTTGACCATGCAGAGCTCTAAAACTGATCACCAAGATCTCAAACTGAAGTCTGAACGTTATAATTAAAGCATGGTGGAAAGTAAAATAGTACTGAGGTCAAATGTAAGATAATCATAGAGCTTATTCTATAAACTGATTCCTTCTCCAACTCATTGATATTAGAGCTACACGCTTTTCTATCTTTCCTCTTGCAGAAGTTGGGGCCACTATAGGGAACATGCCTGCACATGCTCTTTGGGCCTTTCAATAGATCTTACACAATAACACATGACTCTATAAATAGCCCACAGGACGTCACTAAGCAAAACAAAAGGAGCAGCCCACTGCTGCAGATGTTGGGGGATGGAAGGAGGGACTGAGAAACTGGAGGGATAGAGAGGATGTGTCGGCCATGAATCAGGTCGTTATGCCTGCTGTTGTGGGTTTTCGGAGTCCAGGTTACTGCCTGAAGATTATGCAAGACCAGCGGCTACTGGAGCTATTTAATCATACCTGAAATGACAAAGAACAATCCAGTTTTTCCACACAACAGCATTCCACCATCAATCACTGCAGATTCACATACCCAAAATGGCCGTCTCCTCTTGCCACTTTCTTCTTGAGTTATATGGTTGCCACAGTAACCATCAGCCCTAGCGCTGGATGCTTTGCTCTGTTCAACACATCTTCATTACAGATATATCCAGTAGCCATTATTGGCTCTGCTCAGGGCCTGGCTGAGCTCAATGACCTGCGGAAAGATAAACATATTCAGCAATTAGTCAAACCTGGCAACCGACTGAGCCATATGTAGAGAACATGGCAGAGCTGATTGGAGAATATCCCACACACACAGACACAAGGAGATGAGTCAGAGGTAATAAGGCACCGTGGGTTTGTCCCCATTTGGAGAAATAAAATATGAGCTTCCATTTTAGAGCCTATTCTGGTTCTATCAATGAAAGGAAACTGAGGTGCTGTTCATATGGGTATATTATACATATACAAGTAGGACTTAAAATAGCTTTATAGTCTCTTTGTCAGCTGATGTTTGTCATCCTGTGACTCATACAGACTCCTGATGCCCTGACTGTCCCCATGTGTCAGAAATTTCCCCAAGGGGAGACCCAACAGAATGAGGAGATTGTTCTTCTGTTGCCCCCTTTATGTCCCCTACCCCATCTCGCTTAATTGAGCACATTCCTACTGATTATACACACATAGAGATGCACAATAGTGTGACAAACAGGCAAAAAACTTCAAATCAGTGATGTATAGCAGTCGCAGACTAGAACCTGACAATGGGCAGCCTGTGTACGATAACAGCATTAGTGACACAGCCTGGACACAAACCAGAAGACCAGGCTTCGTCATATCCTCAGTGTGATACATGCACATGGAAGCAGAGATGTGGCAGCCCACAGAGACACTTACACACCCAGACATTCAAAACACACCCACGAGCACCCACGATAATTAAAATGTATTATAATTTGAGCTATAATTCACATCACACGCCTACATAAGAAAATGGAGGTTCCTCTCTTCCTCGTCAGTGTGGGAGCTGCCAGAAACTTCCCGCGCAAGGAAACAAGGATCTCATTTCAGGCCAAGGAAGACTTAATCAATGTGAAGAAAGAGCAGGATGTGACGTAATGGGTTGCTAGTGGCGGGACAGGAAGTGAGTTTCCGCGCCCGTTTACTGTTTTTTAACCTCACAGTAGTAAAATCAAAGGAAGGAGTTCCTCCCCCCCATCCTCCTTCACTGGCTTCCTCTCTTCTTCCTTCCCTGCCCCCCCTTTCTCACTCCAGCAGCTGTCTCTGCATATGTAGGGTCACCACATGTTGGAGAACAGAGGTCTGTTTTGTGGATATGCACACTGGAAGACTGAAAGGATAAAGCTTAATCTGGGTTTTTGTCGGGAATAACCCTGACATGAAATTATATATATATATGTATATGTATATGTGTGTGTGTGTGTGTATAAATTAACAACCACTCATCATAAGCAGAATCTAAATCCAGCAGGAACTGACTGACCTCCACTTTTATCAAGCAGGAATCTTGCAGTGCAGAGCCAGAGAAAGAGAGAAACTGCTGTTTTTAGGATGAACGTTCCTTATAAAAGATTAATTGACAGAGAGGAATGGAAAGTTAGTTTTCTGATGGCACTCTCCGCCAGCTCTAAAAATAACCCCTGAACAAAAGCGTCGGATAACACCAAACGATTTGTCACATATGAACACACACATATCCAAACGCTGCATTGCTCTTTAAAAATCATCTTTGTATCTCTGTAAAGACAAATATCCTGCTAATTTTCAAAAAGTCTGCTTTCATTTATTATTTCAGCAGAGAGGAATGTGTTCATAGGGCAGCGTTAACAGGGAATCTGCTGCTCTAAGGCAGAAAGAAGAAGGGGGGGTCATTGAGAAAGAGCATTGGAGCGCTGGAGCCTGAACGTTGCTAAGGCTAACACTATCCTGATTTAAAGAGACTCAGTAATGTGCTGGCTGCTGGCTTGACTAAATAACAGAGATGGAGCTGTAGCAATGTGGAGGAAGAATACAATGCTCCCTTTCAAAGCCACAAACCCTTTTTCTCTTCATCTGAAAAGCCCCCTCTCTCCTCATCTCTCTCTCCCCTCATCTTCTTTGCCAAGTGTTCTTGCTCCTGTTTTCTCAGCTGGGAGGATGGAAATGAGACAGCGGGGAGACAGGAATTGAGAAGGGAAAGACAGACTGAGGGAAAGAGAAGGCTGACATTAGGCTGCTACAGACACAGGGTTAATTGCTTTGTAAGCCAGTGAAAGAGAAGAGTGAAAATATGAGGACTGCATCAAGTCAAAGGTCGCAGACAACATAAAATAAGAAAGTGCAGTTTGGTTTTAATTTCCCCAATAGAATGGAACAATGTGTGTGTTATTTTTTTAGGAGATCAAAAGCTTCCATCTGGTGTAAAGTGGTTTAAGGGCATCCTCTCCCCCCACCTTGTTTCTACACACTCTAATACCCACACACACACATACACACACTAAAAACACACATACAACACTCTAGCATAACCCCAATCCCTTTTAACAACCATACACCCCATGAGCAGTCCTCCACCCCGCTCCCTATGCAGCTACCACGCCCCCAGCACAGTGCAGAGGATCTAATCCATTGCCTCCACCAGCTGCGGTTGTCATGGTAACAGAAAATTCCAGATTTCCATGATGAAGGCTGGAACAGAGAGGAAACCAGAAAATAAAATGTTCAAGGATTCAACAAAGAACGCCAGTTTACTCTTTGTTGTTTTCGCGGGCGTGTGTGCGTGTGCATTTGACACAGCTGCATGTGAAGGATGTTGTGTAGCATGTATTAGATTTTAGACATACCAGAACATTAACCGAGGAGGTTAAGTGTGTGTGTGGGAGAGAGGTGGGTCTGAAAGGTCGGACACGCTGTGAATGCGCAGCTCCTCCAGACATGCAGACATTGACACAGAGGCATGTCGACAACTCAGCACCATGGCGACAGGTGTTGCTGCGGAAATGGTGCAGCTGCTGCATGGATATTTCAGGCTAATAAGCGTGCATCATCAAGCAAGTCTCTACTTTCCCCCTCTCTCCCCACTGCACCGCTGTGTCCCCTAAACTGCCCCTGTGACTGATCCCCTTTCCAGTAGAGTCATGCAGTATTGTTTAGAAAATACGTCCAATTAGGAGAGAATCTCGAGGTCTTCAGGGAGCATACACATCAACAAATTCATTACACGTGCTGACATAGCTTGCATAAAAAACACACAAAAAATAACTTGCTCAGTTCTTGAATTGCTGTTGGTAATAACAAGGTGTGAAACCAGATGGTTTCTGTCTAAAACTAACTGGGACACAAACCATGTGTCAAATTCACCCACTAATATCAAGCACCGGCTATCAGGTTGAATGCTTTCCCTTCTGGAAATCCCACAAGCATCTCCAGAATGAGTAGAAATGCAGCCACAGTCTTTAGACAGAAAGCCTACAATACATACACACAAACACACAGAAATTATGAGAATGTAGCATATTTGTGAAACCCCAGGGAAAAGCAAACTGGGCATCAACACTTGAAATCATCAACTGGGATCATGGGAATGTTTTAAGAGCCATATCTCACATTCTGACCGTCATCTAAATGTCACCAGTGTTGGTGGGACGCTCTGCTGCACGCCACGACCTCTGGGACAGGTGTTAAACCCATCAGCAGAGGAGGAAGCTGGGAACTTACTCTGGAAACATGGGAAATCAATTCAAATACAAGACATACCAGAGGTTCTAAGTGATCACTGTACCAGATAAAAATGTAGAAAAAAAGCCAAGCACATTCCTACAGAGGAAAAGTGCATTATCTGTTATAAAGATATATCAAAGGTGCCA